AGCAAAATCCAGTGACCCTATCTACTGTTGAAGCTGAGTATGTTGTTGTTGCTTCATGTTGTGCTCAATTGCTGTGGATCAAACAACAATTATTGGACTTTGGAATTGATGTTGGTTGTATACCTATATTTTGTGATAACACTGGTGCCATTAGTATGACAAAGAACCCGGTTCATCATAAGAGAACTAAGCACATAGAGGTTAGGCACCATTTTTTGAGGGACAACTATGAGAAAGGCTTGATTACTGTGGAGTTTTGTGCTACTGACAAGCAAATTGCTGACATCTTCACAAAAGCCTTAAGTAGAGAGGAACAGGTTGGAATTAGGGATGATTAAGATCACCTCAAAGGACCAGTTCAAGGTTAGACGAAAAAAAATTAAAAAAAATAAAAATAATATTTGGTTAGAAAATCTGTAAAATCTTGTACATAAGTATATTAGATCTTGCTCAATCTCATACTTTCAATAGTATACTCTTGTGCCATGTATTAAAATGATTCATTAATCTCTAATGATATTTTCTCTGTTTTGACAAATTTAGACTTACACGAGAGAATTTTCAGTGAAGAACCTGGTTCATCAAGATAAATAGGTATATTTTCTACACTCTGCATAATTTGAAATAACAATATTTGGATTGAGCAGAGCCCTACCAAATTCCAAAGTTCTTTTGAACTTATCCATTACATGTGAACCAGCTCCGTTCAAAGACTCCTAACCGAATTAAACTACCTATATATTAGGGATAGACTCCAATGTCTTTTCAAAAGTGACATTCAGTTTGATTAGACTTCTAAAAGTCTGAAAGCCTGCCTTTACCTATTAATTACCTCACCTTTAAATTGATCAGCATTATTAGTTTCTTCACTCCATCTTTTTCAAGCCGTCAATTACTCTTCTTCTTTTCTCATCTTCCAAACACAATCCAACTCTCTTCTCTTCCAGAACCAAACCCAGAAATGCCTAACACTTATGCAAACCCTTCATCACCACCACAAGAAACCACTTCCTCGCCCACAATCACTCCTTCCAAAACCCCAACCTCTAAGAAAAGAGTAAAACAGATGGCTCGCAAGATTGTTGTTGGTGGAGAGCAGATTAAGAAAATTAACAAACAACTGAAGGCAAGTAGGGAGGAGGAATCCAGAAATCTGAAGATTCATTAAATTCTGCTACTGAGGAGGAAGAAAATGGTTCTTCCAAAACTGAACAGGTATCTTCTGATCCTAAAGTTACTCCTGAGATAATTTTTGAAGTTGCTGCAAATTTGGAGAATAGATTTGTACTGGTAGGGTCTATAGTAGGTGTTGAGACTACAAAATCTAGAGAAGTTGGTGGTAAAAATGAAAAAGAAAAAGAAAAAGAGAGTGAGGGTGCTCGGAGTGCTGTGAGGGGAAAGGGTAAAGGAGTGGTTGATTCTTCACCCACTCCTATGAGTTTAACCAAAGACACAGGCACAATGGTTGTTTGGGGAGAGGAATCTGGTAGAGTAGAGGAGAGTATCAAGAAAACAGGGGAAAGTGGATCTGGTGAAGCTGCTAAAGGGCTTGTTCAACTTGGGAAAAATGAAGATGAACCTGGTTCATCAATAGAGGAAACTCTCGCAGACCTGCTGAAGAAAGTGACTGAAAGCTATAATCCAAAAAGGAGAGGGAGTTCAAAAACCCCTGGCACACCTAGGTCAAACAAGAAAAGGAAGGTTTCCCCCTCTGTTATTGTTGAAACTCCTCCTACAAGAGGAAGAGCCACAACAAGCTAGCTAAAGAAGAACTACAGAAAGCCTTAGAGGAAAGTAAAAGAAAAGCGGTTGCTAATGGAAAGAAAAAGATGGATAAGCCTGTTGAGATTGTTGAAGTTGATGAGATGGACCTGGTCCTTCGAGATGAAAAAGAGACTGAAGAAGTGGAGGTTCTGACTCCTAAACCCAAAAAGCAAAGACTTCCACTAAGAAGTCTATTACAAAATCAAAGTCTGTTGAACCATCCACCCTGGCAAAAAGGACCAGGTCTGTTGTGAAATCAAAACAAGTGAAACTTGTTGAAGAAGAAGAATGGAGTGGAGAGGAAGAAGAAGATTCAGACACTGAGAAGGACAAGATGGCCAAGTTTGGCAAGAGAACAATTCTGAAGGGCTGACTCCTCATGGATTTGGAGGAGGAAGGAATGGTGCTGCTTTTGGAAAAATTGGAGTTACAAGGCTGGAAGGACATGGTCCTTCAGATGGATGGTAGGTTAGCCAGGAATGAAATTGTTGAGGATATGGCAATGCTGCAGTGAAAAATGGAAGGGTTACCAGTATGATGAAAGAAGTGCAAGTCTCCTTCGATACGAAGGATTTGGGAGAAATTCTGGGTGTACCTGCTGAGGGGTACAATGACTATAAAGCTCAAGTGGCCAAGCCTAGAAAATCTTCTTACTACCCTTGCCATTACTAGAAAATTCAGTGAAAATGAGGAGGAACTTGAGCCCAAGGCTGTGTACAAGAGTGAGATGAAGTCACCCCACAAAGTGTTGTTTGAATTTGTCATCAAATGCGTTCTGCCAAGGCAGGAAAGGAGGCACATTGCAAACTTCTTGTACTTGGTCCTGATGGAGTATTTGGATAGTGGGAAGCAGATTAATTGGCCTGGATTAATAATCCAGCTTCTTGATAGGGTTATCAATGGCACCAAAACTCATGCCATTCCCTATGGCTTCATTCTCACAACTGTGCTTGCACATTTCAAGGTACCTATGAGGAAGTGGGAGGTTAGTACAAGCAAGGATCATTTTGGGGCAAATACACTGCTTGCTTGTGACTATGAAGTCCATGCCACTCCTAAAAAACCTGGTTCATCCAAGAAAGTACTAGTGAATAGCAAAGTCAGAGCCTTGGTGCAAGAAAGTAGGGCTAAGGATGCTGAGATTGATAGGCTGAAGAAGAGGTTGGCAGAGGTGTAGACTGAGAGAGATGCTCTCAGAACTGAGTTGTCAAGAGAAAAGGAGAATAATGATGGCATTCTTCAGGATATGATGAAACTCCTCCAAGCCAAAAACCAAGCACCTGGTCCTTCCCAGCCTTAAGCCTCCTAGCCTAGTGTAGATCAACCAGTGACCCAGCTCGGGACGTTTTGTTTCTTTTGATCATGTTTCCAGTATTTTTATTTCTTCTTATGCTTTATGGTAGATCTTATCAATCATCAATGAAATTTACTATTTTTATTCTAACTGTTTGTTTATATTTCTTTGATGGTTAATATTCTTAGCTTGACCTATGATTATTAATCCATGATTGCATTTGAAGTAGCCCTAGTGGCCATGAGTAAGTTTTAAAATGTGGTTATCTCACATTTTTATGCAACTTTTCGATGATGCCAAAAGGGGAAAAAAGGTTGTGCTTTACACTTTGAACAGTGATGTTTATAACCCCTTGATGATAAGTGATAAAAAGGAAAAAAAATCTAACATTGTGTTGATGTTGAGCTAAGTTGAAACAGGGCCTAAGCTTATGAAAAAGCACAAAATTTGTCATCATCAAAAAGGGGGAATTTGTTGGCCTAAGGGAAGGTTTGTTTTGAAGATTGACAAAGGAAGTTCAGGCATGAACCAGGTCCATCCCCTGTGTGCATAGAAACGGGCAGATTTGAGCATATAGGATGCACGTGAAGAAGATAAGCTTAACTTGGTATAATTGATATCTCGTGATCGAAAAGGTTGCATAATTGATAAGGAGAAGGACTCCTTAATCAAAAAGAACATTATCCAAGATAGGGAAGGAGTTAGAAGTTGAGATCAACTAGAACTCTTCCACCAAGGAAGAGTAGCATTAGAACTCTAGTTATTTCTTCATCTACTAACTCTATAAATTGCAGGATGTTCTCACTTTACAGGTAATGCACAAACGCAAAAGTTAAACCTGAATTGAGAGCAAATAGCAAGACTTTTTGCAAGCAGTTCGTGTGTGATTCAAGTGTGCAAACCCGAAGCTACATGAACCAGATAGAAGAACCAGTTCTAAGTGTCTGTCTTTTATTCTAGTTCAATTGTAGTAGGTATTTTCATTGTACCTTTCAGCTTTATCTAGAGGCAATTGAATAGGTACTCAGAGTATTCAAGTTAGAGTTAACTTGAAGTTGTCGCAAAAGTTAGAGGTTGTTTGCCACAACGGGATTAGAGTTAATCCTAGGTTTACAAAAGTGTTTTATAAATGCAGTTTTTGGCTCAGTGATTTAGTGGAGAGTTTGGGAAAATCGTATTGAGAAGTAGGTCGTGGTTTTTTCACCTTTTGAGCCAGGTGTTTTCCACGTAAAATACTTGTGTTCTTTACTTTTCGCCTTTACTATTTCAGCAATAGTAGGTTAAGGAACACTTAGAAGAACCGGTTCCTTCCATAATCAGTTTAAGCGAAAAAATTGGACACCACACAAACCCTCTTGTGTGGAATTGAAGTTAAAACATTGATTGGTATCAGAGCCAGGTTATTCTTGAAAAGACTAACACCTTAGGAACTGATCAAGATGAGCGCACCACCTGGAAACTGGGAAGGGCAATCCACTGCTAGGCAACCACTCTTTAATGGCCAGTACTACTCTTGGTAGAAAAACAGAATGAGAGATTACATCATCGAAGAAGACTACGAGCTATGGGACATTTGTCACTGATGGTGCTCTGACTACCACCAAGAAAAATGCAGAAGGTAACTTATTATAGTATCTGTTAAACTAGTCATCAACAAATGAAAAGCAACAAACATTTCAAGACGAGATGAAAGCAGTGAATAATGTTGTACTAGTAATAACAAATGTAATGTCGAAAAAACACAAGGACTGACTATTACATGGTTAAATTTTAATTGGAATGTCCTATTTAATCCAAAAAAAACTTTATTCACCTTTTTAAAGTTAAAACCCTTAAATCCTAAGCCCTTTTCCACTCTTCTTCTTTGTCAAGACTAAGCTGTTAGCTGTGGATTTCACAAAACCATTTAACGTCTTCAAACTCCGGCCACTTCCAAGTTAAGATGGTGCCATCTAATGGCAAAAGAAATGGGAAGCAGAAAGAGAAAGGGAGCTCCAAAACTACAAAGAGCAGAGCTCCAGCTGACTCAACGACGTCTGACTTGTATTTCCCAAGAGAAATCATCTCTAACATTCTTTCCCGTCTCCCTATTAAGATCCTTTTACGGTTCAGGTGCGTATGCAAGCAATGGCGAAACCTCATTTTTAAACCCAACTTCATCGCCGCTCATTTCTGCCACTCCTCTGCTTTGCAGCGCAGTGGTTCATCCATTGTTATACACACCCGCCATTACGAGACCTCCGACCATGCACTCTCACTGTACAACCCGCATGATGAATCAATTGTCGAGCTGGACAACCCTTATCCTTGCTTCTTTCCCAATATGTTCGTTGCGGGTCCTGTCAATGGCATTGTGTGCCTTTTTCAGAAAGCTTCAGGTGATACTTTTACCCTTTGGAACCCAGCTATGAGGAAGTATGGGATGGTGCCGCTTTCGCGGAACAAACCCGATGAGGGAGTGCACTGTTGGGCATCCATCGGGTTGGCGTTTGATCCCCAAGAGAATGATTTGTTGCTCTTGAGAATCTTTTGTGTTGTGCCAGGATCTACAGTCCCGAACCATGTGGAAATGTATTCAACCAAGAGTTTCGGATGGAAGAAACTGAAATGTGACCTGGTTTTTAGTATATTTTGCAATACTTGTCTTGCGATCGTTAAAGGGGTTCCTTATTGGTTGGCTTTTGTAACTGATGAATTTGGGTTGCGTACAGTGTTGGTGCGCTTTGATGTGGGCAACAAAGTATTAGAGAAGTTACCTATGCCAGGAATCGGAGAGGTGGCTGATCAATGTATTGTCACCATAGAGGATTCTATTGGTTTGTTAACTCGGGAGGAAAGAGACGAATGCTATATTAGTGTTTGGGTAATGGATGAAGAAGATGGTCGGAGTAAGAAATGCAAGGCAGGACCGTTACTCGGGTTTGACGGAATTGTGGGCTGTTTGAGGAATGGTGACATTGTTGTTGAGAATGAAAGTGGACTGTTGTTCTTTGATCCAGTGACTAGTTCAGTTATGGTAAAACTGAGTGTTGATAATGCTAAGAAGGGTTCATATGAGATTTTCAACTATTCGGAGAGCCTACTTCTGATCGAATGGATGCTACCAGTTAATAAGCAAGCTAAAGAATAAATTGGCACGCCAAAACCTCATAAGGTTCGGTGATAGCGTTATAATTATACTATAATTTATGTTACTATATTCTTGCTTTGTGTTGATCATCAACTCCCACTTTTAGATGTTGTCATTGCTTCAGAAGTTTTCTTATGTTATGTGCATGTATGTGGTATACATTCACTTGATACATTGACTCTGATGTGTTAATTTACTATGTGAACTAACTCTATTGATTACTTCTCTGCAATTGGTTGATATGCTTGTGCGTCACAGCTGTTTCTAGCTTCTTGTTTTGTTGTCACAGAAAATTAGGTGATATCATATCGATCTCCAGCAACTGTAGAGCTATGATACCTTTTATATTTTTAGCTAGGGAAACTTAGAAAATCTCTAATCTTTGATACCTGAACTGTGTTTGCTTAGTCTTTTTGTTTTTGGAAGTGTTCACCAGTTTTTGTTCCTTGACAGAGTGAGTAGTAAGACGAGACAATTGTTTTTCCAGTTATACAATAGCAAGATACTTGCAGTTATTCATTCGAAGACATCAAGACTATCTGGAATAGCTACTCTCCTTGAATGCTCCTTTTTTCCCTCCCTCTTTACTGATGAAACTATTAGAAGTTTCATTGTAATTATACAATTCTTGGTTTCCTCCTTAGTTAATTTCTCTAGCAATATTTGATCAATGAATTGACTTGTCATGTATAGTGTGGAGTATATTAAGTGATGCCAGGGACTGTACGAAAGGTGCTTCTAGGATGAAAATGATTAAAAGTAGGGGTGGCAAAATGGTTAAAAGAAAACAGTTAACCACCCATATTATCCAGTAAAAAATGAGTTGGATAATAAACTTTTTAAAAACGGGTCAAATATGGATAAGAACCATATTATCCATTTAGAAAATGGATAACCCATGAGTAACCAATGGGTCTAACTTTTACATTTGTAAAGCCTCAAATTGGGGGTTCCTCAAGTTAGGGAGACTAAGAATTCTTCTAAAAGTGATCATATACAAGAAGACATGGATAATATGGGTAACCCATATTATCCGCCGGTTAACCCGTTTTTTATCCGTATTAAATATGGGTCGTAATTGATCCGTTTTTTCATTACCCGTTTTCGATCCGACCCATACCCGACCCGCCCGTTTGCCACTCCTAATCAGAAGTAAGAGAAGGGGAGGACGGAAGTAGCTCGTTCAGTACTATGTGACAATATGGAAAGAGAGAGAGATGTTTGATGCAGTACAAAATTTGTTTGTATAGATTAGTGGAACATTTTTGTTCTTTCGATATTCTTGGAGTACTTCTAATATTGGTAAAGAAACATGCTTTCTTGTAGGATTTTTAGTAAATACTTTTGTTCGTCAGATATTCATGGAGTGCTTCTAATATTCCAGTTAACGTTGATGCTATCAGTAAAGAAACATGCTTTGTTGTAGGATTTCTACCTTTTGCATACATCTTCTATGTTGGATTTTCCCACTAAATCAATTAAATTTAACTCATAAAAAGAGATTATGAGAAACTTACATTTCTATAGGTAGTTCTTTTTGGTAAATGATTCTTTGCATATGTGAATTCTCTGGTCTGACTATGACCAAAATGCATGTTGTCTTTAAAATAGCCAAGTTTACAGTGTGAAGTGCAGTTTTAGTCCTTACACTCATACGAGTTGTCAATAAGTTCACATTGATGTGATTTTTCGAGTTAACAAAGAACCAACCGACCAGGATCAAAATCTTGAAACGAAAACGTGGTTTGTGGGCCTGTTTCAAGAAACAGCGTATCTCAAGCTTTGAGACTCGGAATCTGATGATTCGAAAACGAAATGAAAGGTGACGATCTGAACTATAAGAAAGACTATTTACTCGTTCAAAACAAGTAAATATTGATGATGTACCGACAAGGAAAGTTATGAGCCTATGATAAGAAGAAAAAAAAAATAGATCAAGAACGTGTTCTTGAATGATCAAGAACTATAAGATTCCTAAAGTCACCACTTTGAATCAATTAACATGATAAAGAAACACCACACGCAATTGAAAACAAGATAAAGACTATCACCACCTTGCTTGGAACCAAAAACAAGGATAAAGAAGACAAAATAGAAAAAAACACTCTATTGTAAATTAGGGTAAAGCTCAAAAACGTGAATTCTTCGTGTCCTTAAATTGTTTAAGACAGACAAAATGGTGAATATGAATCTTTGAGACAAATGTTAGCCTACCACTTGTGTGTGTCTCTTTGTGAGATTGTTCTCTCAATATTTTGTACCTTTTTTTTTTTATAGCGGATTGCTCATATCCGCCTGTGGATGTAGGTCAATTGATCAAATCATGTTAAATATTTGTGTCTGTTTTGATATATTTCTTTCTTATTGTCTGATTTATTGTTGTTGAAGGTATGCTTTGTTAGCTTACGTATGATACCTGATATTTTCGGTTCTAACATATATATTCTTTTTTGAAATGTTTATCTTTTGTACCTAGTTTCAAAAGGTCTTTTCGCCTTGTCCCAATTTTCTATACTATTCACTTAATATTCCCAATTTTATTTAAAAAGATACGAAATATGATCTCCTTTGAATGGTGCTAATTTTTTGACGGAAAAGGTTGTGTGTCTTGCGTATAACTTCGTGATCAACTTTAACACATGAAAAAAGGAGAAAAAGACTTATAAAAGGAACATCAGACCATGTGCACCACATTTCTTAAAACTAAATATTAATTCTCTCAAAAGAATGTCCTCTTTTAGCACTTTTCTAAAAAGTTGGAATTATTATATGCACATTGGCTAAGATAAAATGTGCACAATTTTCTAGCCTCTTGGTTAATATTCAATTCACATTAAAAAAATTCTTGGTTTGATGCAAAATTTTAAAATATAAATAAATGTTTTGCAAATTTGTATTCTCAAACTAAAGGTATATAAAACATACTACTATTAAATATACTAGTTGTCTTAAGTATGTCATGTTGCTGCTACAAGTAAGTGGTATTAAGAATAAATAAATAAGAACATTAAAATTATAAAAACTTACTAACTATAAAAAAGTGACACTTATTAATTAAAACAAAAGGTAAAAAGGAAACACATAACTAAAACGAACGAAGTACTTGTAAAACAATTTGTCAAAGAGATCATTTACGAAGGGGCCAGCGACCTATGACCAACCACCAGAAAATCTTCTTAATTTGTCAACTAAAATCTTCTTAATTTAATTAATTAATTAATGGGGTCATTGTAAGTTGTCATAAACTGACTATTTTTAAGGAAGCTGTGGAAATACAACTATCCCAACCCAACCAGAAAATTTTCAGTTAGGCCCCTCATTCTATAAAATGCCACTTAAGACTTTTCTTTATATGTGAGTTAAGTGTCACTTTCAAAATTTAATGGGCTCCTTTGCAAATATCATGTACCATTAAAAACCCTCCACTAGATCAAACTAATAATACAGGAAAAGTTAAAATTTGCTCTTAATAATACATTCATATTTGCGAAGGTATTGAAATTTTAGCTAATTATGGTATTTCATTAATGTTGCTTAGCTTAAAACAAAATTCTATTTTGAAAAGGTTATCCATTAAGTTTGTTATTTCATGTCAACATAATTTTATATGCAACAAATATTTCTATGCAAGTAAATGACGTCATCATGTACCTATATATAAATTATAAAGTATAAAGTATTATATATGTGCTTACTTGTTTGGTCCTTTTTGGTGCCCTTGACTCTTGAGGTTTTCAAAAGTGGCACCTAAGCCCTTCCAAGTTTGAGAAAGTGGTAGCAACAAAAGTTAAAAGTATTACCCGTAAAATAAGTAAAGGGCAATATTTATTAAACTTGAAATTTTACCCATGAGGCAAACGAGTAACAAAATTCAAGATCATCTACCTTGAAAGCTATTCCTGTACTTCACCCATTGTAATCGAAATATAATTTCCTTTTTCCCTTTAAACACTTTATTATGTGAAAAAGAAATAAACTGGAGTTATGCTACCAAAAATGTTTAGGGAAACAATTTATTTCTCCAAAATAGAGAAAATTCCCATGTAAAACAAATAATATGTCACTAGTTACAACTCTGACCACTTGATATGACATACAAAAAGCATATAATTAATTTGCATTTAACTCAGTGCTCTACGCTTTTTCTTTCCGTATTAGGTCTAAATCTCATATATATGTTTACATGTTGCTTCTAATGAAGATTATTTTTCTAATTTACAGTTTTCTTACAATATAAATGATATCACTTTGAAGTTTATTTCAAAGTTCAAACAATGTGGATCTCTAATTATATAATTTCATATGGAGAGGAATCCAAGTCTTAAGCTCCAATCAGAGGAATCCAGACAAACTTCCAGTGCAATGCCAACTTCGCATCGTTATCTGTTTTTCTAATTAAATAGATCGTAATCCATTATCACAAATTAAACAAATCCAAATGCATCAATCACATTAATTATTTCAAAATCGTCTCAACAGAAATTATTTCAAAATCATTGCTGTTGTGCATTTGTTATATTATATATGTAGACAAAAATATAACTGTCAATGTATTTCTTATTTCTTATCAAAGCTTGCACGCATCCATTATCTCTCAAGATTCTTTCTGGTTTATTTTATTTCATTGATTTACAAATAACACCAATTAATTAAATCTTTGCAAGTAATTTTGAACTCTAGACCCCGTTAAGTGTGCTTCAGCTTCACACATGTCATAAAGTATAATTCGTCTATGTGAGTGATGTCATATAATTGTCCCTTCATTTTTTTTTCTTTTTGTTTGTTTTATTTATTATATGTTGCACACTTTCGGATATAATTTTGATCTAAGGTATGTTTGACATGGACCTCATTGGCGCATAACAGGGAAGCACAACATGTTATAGTTCTATGAAATATTGAGAATCCTAAATAAGAACTCTATTGCTTCAGTATTTCCTATTTTTTATCTTTTTTTTGTGATAATTGTATTGTTCGGCCAGTTTACGCGCACCTCGTCC